TCAATAGCAAAATTAAAAATGTGCTAGACATGTACCAGCGCACACAGTGAATGGGGACTTGAATAAGGGAACTTCGCCTTTCAACAAGCTTCATGTCCCATGTGAGTTTGTCTCGTCTTTATGTTCTGGAAAGGTCTTTCTCTCCATAATTTTTGTTAAAGAAACTGGTCTGCATCTGAAGAGTTATTGTTATTTTTCAGCACTGTGGTCTGTGGTTGTATTTCTGTTGGTATAGGTTACGTATTTCGTATAATTTGAATGCTTGGTGGAATTTGTGTTCTGTAGTCTTAAGTCCTCAGATGGATTATCCAGGAATATCCATGGCAGTTTATATTTTGAGTTTTAGCTGAAATATTTTCTTGGCTGCTCATTAAATGAGGAGTGCTCTCCCTAGAGTATTTATTTCAATAGAATGTAATTAAGGTGATTTACTTCAGAAGGAATATATGAATATATGTGGATAAAGAAAGACTTATCGTAATTTCAGTCACACTTTAGATTACCTTGGGAAGTTTGTTTCAATATGTAAATACGTGTACGCACAAGTTGATGCACTTCTTCAAGTAAGGAGAAGGAATTTTCCGTTATTCTCTTTTCTATGCGTTGAATTTCTACAGCTTTCTGTTCTGTGAGAGCAAAAGTGCTTTGCAGCACCCAGCTGTAGCCTTCTGCCTTATTTAAAGGCCCTATTCAAGTACACCTTGGCTGGAGAGGATCTCAGCTGTGCTATACGTGTTTAGAGCAATAGTGAGGTTAAATCAAGGCAACAATGGGGAGACCTTCAAAGTTTGCACAGAGAGACAGATTACATTCCTATCAGTAAGAAGATGGGTTTTTTTTAAAAAGCCAATGTGGAAGATCAGAGAATGGAAAAATGCTTCACTGATTATATTTTAAGATGTTGGAGACAACAAATGGTGGAGTTCAATACGTAAATAAAGACTTAACGTATATAAAAGAAAGAACAAAGGTGTCTAAGAAATGGAGTCAAGTTAATCAATAAGTAGTTCTTTAAATATGCACCGTACAAAATAAACAAAAAGGAAAGAAAGCATTGATCACCATGTGTTGAACGCTAGTGACAGGGATTAATCTGACTACACAAAAAACAAATCTTCACATAGTTGTTTGAGCAAGATAATATTGTCCAGTCTCTGAAGTGCTTTTATCTTGGTAAGAGGTATTCTAAAGCATCTTTAACAAGACAGTGATAGCTATTCAGGACTGACAAAAGACCATAGCTGCATTAAACTCGCCATTTTCCAAAAAAATAACAAAAGAAAAAAAAAAGAAACTATTTAATGAGGTCTTAGGTTGAAAGAAAAGCAAAATTAAGCCTGTTTGCACACGTTACTTAAATCAATTTCTTTTAATAAATAGATTTTTTTAAAATTATATGCAATGTTTGAGTGAAATTACAGTTCATAAGTATGTATGTTTTAGTTGTGGTCTTAGGCAGTAGGTGCTGAAATTGGTATTCAGGCACAATAGATTAACAACTGCTGAACTGAACAATTCTTTAGCTGTTTGCAGTGTGATCCACCTCAAGGTAAGAATTCAAAATCTGTAAGATTAGTCCTTTGTGTACTGCAGTGGAAATGGAAGGTGGATAAGTGTGTTTACACAGGCTACTAAAAAAAAAACAAAAGAAGAAATTAAAACCCCAAACATTTAGTTCATTGCCAATGAGGATTTACTGTCTAGATCCAAAGTTTATATGTGCCAATGAGGAATGGGCCTAAAGCTCTACTGGAATCAGTTTTACTGCAGTGTTATCAGGATTTCCTATTGAATTACAACCTTTCCGGATATATTTTAGACATGTAAAAAGTGTACGTTACTATATTTACTTCTTTTTATTTTTAAGGCAATATTTTAAAAAGTACAGCTTTTAGAATTTCAAAATTAAATGAGAGAAAGAAGTCAACAGGAGCTGAGGACATTTTGCATCTTAGAAATGGCTTCTGAATCACTGTGGTGGTCTTTGAGTGAGCAAGTAAAGAAGTAATTAAGAAATAAAGACTTGGTACTCGTAATTTTATTTAAAATAGCTTATGAAAAGGGGCTGGGACTTTTACAGAAGACAAACGACTGTATTTAAGATTCCAAATGTTTAGTAACAACACTGTGATATTAATTCTCAAGAAATTAATAATTATTACTGATTAGGAATCTGTACATAGTCTTCAGTCATTACAACACCAGCTAGTATTTGACTGAATTTCCAGTTAGGTGTAGATTTTTTTCAGTATTTGCCTAGATTCACCTTGATGCTGTCCTACAATATTTTCTTCTTATGAACCTGAGACTTACGAACCTGGAACTGGGAGTTACTGTCACCGACTTGACATAATGTGTCTGGTATCCACACTGATGGGGGTTTTCCACTGAAGATCAACAACCTAGAAAGGAAATGTAGGTTTGTCAGTGTACAGTGCTTTTACTGTGCTTTGATATTCCTACATGTTGGTTTTCTACCTAAAATATATGAATGAAAATACTGTTTCGTTCAGTATTCATTCATTCATGTTTTGTATGTTGCATGTTTGGATCTTAAAAAATAACAATCTGGTTTAGCCCCAGCCAGCAACTAAGCCCCACGCAGCCGCTCGCTCACTCCCCCCCAGTGGGATGGGGGACAGAATCGGAAAAAAAAAAAAGTAAAATTCATGGGTTGAGATAAAGACAGTTTAATAGGACAGAACAGGAAGAGAAAATAATAATAATAATGATAAAAGAATATACAAAGTAAGTGATGCACAATGCAATTGCTCACCACCCTCCAACCGATGCCCAGTCAGTCCCCGAGCAGTGATTGCTGACCCCCAGCCAACTTACCACA